GGGAAGGATGCAGCCGGACCCTGGCGGGGCGAGCGGCTCAGTGGGGTGGGGCGGCCCTGGGTGGGGGTCCCGGCTGCGGTCACGGCCCCTGCGCCGTCCTGCGCACACACACACGCGCCCATGCACACACACGCAGGGTCCCTCACCGTCCGGCGGCCGCGGAGCTGCCCCCCCAGCCCCGGCTCGGCCCCTGCTCTCCCGCACGCTTCCAGCACACGCGCACCTAGACAGGGGGGTGTGTGTATCCATAAGTGTGTGTGTGTATCATTATTTTTTATATATGTATACACGCACACATACGTACATATATCGACATAGTCTACCTCTGTGTATGTCTATATCTCTACAGATCTATAGATGGGTATATACCTATATGCATAGGCATGCGTATAGATACACATATAATTGTAATTTTTAGATACATGTGTGTGCATATCTATATTTTATAGGCATACCTAGATATAAATAGGTATTGATATATAGGTATAGCTAAAGGTATAGGTATTTAGGTACAGGTGTATCTACGCAGGTGTGTATATATACTCACATCTATGTATTTTTATACACGTGTGTATATAATGTATTTGTAATTTTAGTACGTGTGTGTTCGTGTGTGTGTGTATATATACTTACGTACATATATAAGTAAATATATAGGGGTGTGTATATATATAGGCAAGGTATGTGTAGATAGGCATAGACATATATATGTAGGTATGGATGTATAGATATGTATTTGCATAGGTGTATACACACATATATGTATCTGTGTATATATGTACATATACACATAAATGTGTATTTGTAATTTGTGTATGTGTAGATATACACACACGTATGTAGATATAGATAAATATGTACATATCTATATCTCTATATGGATATATAGATCTGTGTGTGTATATATACAGACACACACATACCTATGTCTTTGTAATTTTTATATATTTATACGGAAGTGTAGATATAAATAGATACAGATAAAGGTGTATAGATATAGCTGCACATACATAGTGTCCATATGTGTGTATACACAGGTACACATATATATTTATACTTTTATACATATATATGAGTGTCTATCTGTTTATCTATGCATGCAAGCACCTATGTAGGTATATAGCTATCAATAGATAATGTATTAGATAAAGGTATGTAGGTATGGATACGGATCAATCGACATACCCAAAGGGGGGCGCGTGCGTGCACCTACAGAGGGGTCGTGTTGGTAGCGGATCCTGTGAGAGACCGCGTGTGCGTACACACGCCTCCCCGGCGTTACGGGAGGGACAGAGGTACAGCTCTGTCTGCTTGCACAGTGGATAACCCCCCCACATATATACGTGCCTGTGCGGAGAGCCAAGGGCTTGTACGTACATCTGGAATTTTTATATTTGTGGGTGGGTGGGTGGGGACACGTGTACACATAAACATGGATGGAGCTAGGTATTGGCGGAGAGGGAGAGCACACGTAGATACAGATACCTGTAGCTATACCTAGATCACAAATATGTGTACATCCATGTATATATATAAGCATACATTTATATATAGAGAGGTATAGATAGGAGTACGTAGCTATATAGCCAGGTATTGATATAGATATATCTGCACGTATATATGTATAGACACACATTTATGTATATATCTAGTTGTAATTTTCATATATGTGTGCTTATATATACATACAAATATATACATATCAATATATTTACATGGATATGTACATATCCATATATGTACATTTACGGATATATACATAAAGCTACGTAGATATTTATGTACATATATACACAAATACACATGTCTACCTTTGTGTGTTTGTATACATGTTATATATGTACTTTTTATAGATATGCGCATATATATCATAGATCGAGATATATAAAGACGTATTGATATCTGTATAAAGATAGGTCTAACTATAGGGATAGAGGTGGAGAGAGATCTACATCTATATGTACAGCTGTAGGGGGGTGTGTGTAAGTACACACTTGTGCTTTATATATGTGTGTGCATATAGAGATACAGCTGTGTGTGAATGCAGCGACAGGGGTAGGTGTCGCTGTCGCGTGGTACCTACCCAGCCGCTCGCAGATGCGCGTAGGGGGGTGTGCACAGAGGTAGAGAGTGCACAAATACCTGGACATCCACACACGTACAGGTGCGCGTCTGCATGCACTCGCACACGCTCACCCCCGCACCCCGGGCTCCTTTGGCGGGGTTGTGGCTGCAGGGGGCTGTCCCCAGCCACAGGGTGCCCCCCTCCCCTCCCCATCCCACCCCTGCCCTGGGAGGCAGTGCCTGGCCCTTCCCCCTGCCAGGGGAGCGGGTGCTCCCATGGGACTGCAGCCCCCACAGTGCCGGTGCCCGGTCGGTGGTGCTGGCGCCGCCGCAATGCAGGCAGGGCAGAGGGGAGGGGCCGGGGGGGA